CGCGATTTAAATCCGGAAAAATAGTTGTATTATTAATTTTAATTTTTAGTTTATAAAACTTGTCATTTGTTATACCATTACTGGGTGCATGTAACATTTTAAATGTAACGTGTCTACCTATGCAAATGAATAAATAAAAAATTTTAGGCATATACGCTAAACCCGTGAAGAGTAAACAATAACGCTCGTTACGTTAGGGATAATACAAGGTATAATCTGCCGCCACCCGCGCCGGCTTGTTACTTAGATTTTTAGTACATGTTGTTGTTGATAATTATTAACACTTGTTGCTTTTTGCTATATTTTTTTATCATATGTACACATTATTTTACGAGATTTAAAAAACTACTTAGTTTAAAATAGAATCATCGATACAATAGCTATGTTATAAATAACAGCCAACCAACTTTGTTCTTAGAAGAAACTTGGTTTTGATACCGATACTAGAGAACATCTAGAAATATCGATAAATACCTTGTGCGTTTGACGTAACTACGAGACGCAAGAGTCTCGCAGACATAGTCTGCTTTGTGCTTAAATCTCGCACAAGGCCAAGATTTTGGGCAACACTAATTGACACTACAGATTACTTATTTTGTTCCTAATATTATGCCCCAACTTTGAAAATTAGAAAAATAATCTAGTTGATACGAGATTTCGTAGTCTAAGACCCGTTATTGTGATAGTATAATCTACCATATTTACGTCCCTAATACTTAACTTTTAATACACTTGAGTTATTTTTTACAAGCATTATTTATTTTTCGGAATACCGAATTCGTGTTGCCGAAATACATCCAAGTTCATCCAACAAAATTTCATAATCTTAGCCGAGTTCATAATTATAAGAAGCGTAATCTATGAAAGATATAATTCATTTATTCAGAATCTGTCCACGGTGTGTCGGGATACAATAATATGCGAGCGTGAATGCGTTTCGGCGATTTCTCTTTTGTATTTTGTTGTTCCTCGTATTCTGTTCAATGCCAAACCATTGTGGTGACATTGCTGTTTTATTTTTTAGGATTCCCAATGATATAATTGGAAAACTTACCTCCACTCCTTGATTAGACTAGGTTTTCGAATTCTTGTCCCTGGAGGAGAGGTGGTAACCCAATGGGTGAGACGATTGCTTCTCAACTTATAGGTACCCTTCTTAAGTCACTTTAATCTTGGTCTAACCAGGGCGATTAGATTTATTGGTTTTTGATTGATGTGTTTGTATGATGTCACTATATACTTTACATATTATCACTCGTAAGCAATAAATAAACTGTTAGATGTGAGTTACAATAATGATGTTCGTTTTGTTGTAGATCTCTTGTTCAAAATTATGTTCAACAGAGGACTCGAAAATGGAGACTCGTGCCCAGTAGTAATGTTTATTATTACAAAATAGTTGTAACACAGTAGTGAAGTCCCTGACACCAGAGTTATGTATAACATTTATATGTTATACATAACTCTGGTGTCAGTATCATACTGACTGAACTCTTAGTATCATAAAAAAACGTGTGTTACAGGAGTCAATGTCCTCTCTCAACATTTGACAACGCTTATTGCCTATTTGTTAAAAATGTATAGTGCGTTATGAAATTACTAAGTTGACGATCTCCGTGGTCGAGTGTATTGCACACCGGTTGTCGTCCTTTGAGGTCCCGGGTTCGTTCCCCGGTCGGGTCTAGAAAACTAACTTTTCTATATTGTCTCGTGTCTGGATTATTCTAGTACCGTCGTTATTTTCGATTTCAATAACACTAGTGGTTTAGTTACTTACTTTGGTAACAACACAACTATATATATATAACTATTTATCCACTGTTCCATTCATTTTATAGACATATTAAGAAATGTATATTTATTTATGTACTTATATAGTTTGTAGTAATTGAATGTTATTGCTATATTTTATTTTTTATTTTACGACATAATTTTGTTTTGTTATGCACGTAAACCCGTTACTGTAATTAATGAGTAAAAATATTTTGGTTCGCAGGAAGAAATTTCTTTACGATATAGGCAGTAACTTTTGTTGGTATTTTCTGTTTTACTTAATGTAATTTGTGTTTTCCTGTACAATAAAGATTAAATGATAATAAAAACAGTACAGAGTACTAAAAATCCGACACCAAAAGTCATTCATCCCCTAGTTTGCCACCCTTAGAGGTGGAATATTTTCTTC